GTGTTGGCCCCTCTCTACCTAATCCTTCTTCTGTGTTTGAAACTTAGCTTGCAAGAGCATATTTATGTTATGGCTGCAAAGAAATAGAGGTTGTTGTTGTTTATGTGAAGATTTGGAGGGCATTAAGAGGAGAATGAGGACTTGTGAAGATTTGGAAGGCATCAAGAGGAGAATGAGGGCTTGGTGGCTGTTCATTCAAGAAAGAGATTGGGTGATCTCTTTCAACTTGCCACTTTGGTAAATGATAGTGATGCGGGGCACATGCGATATTTCAAAAAATATCGCATTGAAATTCAACTTGAATTTTATGATTTTAATCCATTGAAATTTTGAAGTTTAGATATTTCAAAAAAGAGGGATTACATGACTTTATGCTAAAATATTTATTTGTTTAAATTTTAGAAAATAAAACATTTCCTTAATTTTTATGGCCGGCCAAGGGTTTTGGGAGGGGGTAGTTATCTTCCTCCATATCAAAGTAAGTGTTGGCCCCTCTCTACCTAATCCTTCTTCTGTGTTTGAAACTTAGCTTGCAAGAGCATATTTATGTTATAGCTGCAAAGAAATAGAGGTTGTTGTTGTTTATGTGAAGATTTGGAGGGCATTAAGAGGAGAATGAGGGCTTGTGAAGATTTGGAAGGCATCAAGAGGAGAATGAGGGCTTGGTGGCTGTTCATTCAAGAAAGAGATTGGGTGATCTCTTTCAACTTGCCACTTTGGTAAATGATAGTGATGCGGGGCACATGCGTGTAACAAGGGAGTGCGTTCGGGTTGAACGAGATGTGGGATTGTGCAATTCTTGCGATCACGGGATTGGTTCATGTTGATCCGTGGGAATTTCCCGCATGCACGAGAATTAGGATGCGATTCCGTCCTACTAAGCATGAACTGGGGCTTTCCCATTTGGGTTTCTGATTCTAGCTCGATTTGCTTACTTTTTTTATTTGTCCTATTTCTTTGTTTCTAGTTAAGTTATTTTATATTGGGGAACTGTTATATATTTTGTACTTTTGTTATTTTGGAAGTAGTTTTGTTTTTGGTGCTTTGGGAAATTGTATTTTTGGATTTATACTCTAAGGAGTGTTGTATCCTTTACTCTTGCAAGTGGTGTGCCTGTATCTTGGTTTGGAACAGGTGGTAGAATCTCCTCGTCGCCCATATCTTTCTGTTTCTCCATTTGAGCCACTGTTTCCAACCGGGATAGCTGCCTAATGTTGATTGTGTACCTCAAAATACCATTGATCGTCCATATTATTATCCCATTGCTATTCAACATCCACCTCTTTAAATAAACCGCTTTTTTTGCACCTTCTAGAAGCCCTAGTTGCTATTCAACATCCACCTCTTTAAATAATAAACCGCTTTTTTTGCACCTTCTAGAAGCCCTAGAACGGTATTGTGTATCAGAGCCTAACAAACCCTAGATTTTTAGGTTTTTGCCTTTTTTATTCCAATCCAAAATTAAAAATAAATTTCCACTATACCTAGATTATTCCTACTACAATTCTTACTCCCAACCCTAAATTTTCAAAATCCAACATTTCAACTTCCACAAAAAATTCACCCCAACACCTATCATCAATACCCTCAACCTTGACCAAACTTGATTTGTAAGTTTGCACTTGCTGAAAACCTAATAAAGAGGAAGTGATGATATGCTGTTAAGGAGGAACCTTCATCGAGGTGTCCAAAAAGTTACTATGGAGGATATGCAGTGGGAAATCTTCCACTGCAGCAGAGGCTCGTCGTCTTTAAGAGGAGATTTCACTGAGATCACACATAACAATAATGCCGACTCATAAGATCGAGAGTAGGCAGTGAATCCCTTATATTATGTAATTTTCAGTGATGAAGAACCACTATTTTGACAATTCAATATGAAATATTTGTAGAGAGGGCTTGAAGTACCACAGTTTTGGACACAGTGCATCATAATGTTCAAATAAGAGGATGCTCTCTTTCACAGGACATGGAACAAGTGAAGAAATGGACAGTGATATAGGAGAGAATGGAGATGTCTGAGAGGAGTCAACTTTCAGCAAATGAGAAAGAGATGCTAGTGGTTCTGGACTAACATTGGTTGTCCTAGAAAATACTGAGCTCGAGGAGCTAATACAGGAGAAGGGGCAACCCTTATTGAGGGAGTTGTCGGATATCCTGACTGATAGTTTACTTCTAGAGTGGTTGCGACTAAGATTGGTCCAAAATGTTACATATTTCATCCTAGGGTCGGTTCCTCCCGACAGACTTATTTATTAGACATACCTAGCTGAGTACTAGGAGTGAGAGAAACATGTTACAAATTTAATTGCTTGAGACTTAGTTCGTGAGAATAAACATGTTTGTGCAATTTCAACTCTGATTGTGCCAAAAAAGAGTGACTAATTATTCTATGAGGACTGTCATTGGAATGATGTATATGTTTTAGAGTTGCGGATAATAGACGCAAGCATATATTTCGGAGTGAGATTGCCTTAGATACAACACAGTCATGACTTTATGGTGGTGATAGATCACTTCTTGAAGCTTCCAGGGTGAATGATGTGGAACACGTGCGTGTAATAGGGGAGCACATTTGAGGTGAATGTGACACGGGATTCCGCAATTCCTGTGATCACGGGATTGGACCGCATCGATCTGTGAGAATTGCCTATGTGTGTTGGAATCAAGACACAATTCTGTTATGCTTAGCCAAAACCTGGGCTTTCCCATGGAGTTTTCTGATTACAACCTGATTTTCTTTCTTTTTTGAATTTTCCTATTTCTTTATTTCTAATTAAGTTATTTTCTATTGGGGAACTCATATATTTTGTATTTTTT